CCTGCTTCAGTTAGTTTTCATAGATCTCACTCCCTAAATTCCACACCAAGTAATTAATTACACACTTAATTATAGATTTATCTTGTACATTTGCTGCTGTTTCATGTGTTAGAGCCTGCTCTCCTCGAGGGACCAGGCCTTGTAAATTCATTTGTCTACTTATACTCCATCTTTTGGAGGAAGGAGGTGAGTTGGCTTACAGCAAGCCCCTGGAAGGGAACCAGGGCTTGGGTTGGTTCTGTCCCTTATAACGTGCTTTGTAAGTGCTCTCGATCAGCTGGGACTTTCTCTGGTGATGAGAGTCTCCAGCTGCCCCTTCCCGCCTGGGTGGTGCTGTGGCCTCGCTCAGAACGAGCTGCCCAGAACCTGCGCAGAGAAGTGGTGACGCCGGCTGTGCAGTGTGGCGTCAGGAAGTGGGGCTTTCACCTGCCTCTGGCGCCTGTTAACACCGCAGAGTTTGCAGGAAAGAGGACGGAATGAGAAATTGTGGTGCTTCTCTGCAGAGAGGAGAGATGCCTCCTGGGGGCAGGGCTGGTTGGATATCCTCCTGCCTCTTGCAGGCCTCAGTCTGGTTCTGGGGAGGAAGTTCCCCTAGCGGGTGGTAGCTGGTTATCTCAGGTGCAGTGGGGAGCCTTTCGGGCAGAGCGTGGCAAGTCATAACTTCTGAGTTCTTTTCATTTTCAGTCTCCCTCTAGATGTGTGGCAGCCTTCCACCGTGGGAAAAGAAATGTGTTTAGACAGCTTGGGCCGCAGGCACAGAGGAGAGTGGGCTAATGGGCACTGAGGAAGGAGCTGCGGGAGAGACACACTGTTAGTCATTATTAATCCGTGACAGCTGCCAGCCACTGGCAGTTAGCACTCAACTGTGCCTGGGAGATGCAGGGGCTCTGGGCCTGTCCTTTGTGGAAGACGTGAGGGCCCAAAGGCCTGTCTTGACTTCTGTGCTGTTCAAACCCCAAATGCACGTAGAAGAGGTGATTGGAAATCTAATGCAGGATGAGAGAAGCCTCTGGCTGACCTGAGTAGATATCTGGTTCAGCCAACATGCCATGGGTATTGAGGAGGATTTCCCTGGCCTGGAACTCTGAATTTAGTCTGGCTAAGTGTTTGTTCAGGTGTGAGATGATTTTTTGATGGTACCCTATTACAGTATTTTTTTAACCTTTTTTTAGCTTTATTGAGATATAATTGGCATATAGCATAATTAAGGTGTACAGCGTGTTAATTTTATACATGTGTATATTACAAAATTATTACACAGTAGGGTTGGTTAACAAGGTTTCTCTTTGTAACCCTTAGCCAATTCTTTGACGAGGCTTAGGAGGAAGTCTCAGTATAGTTCCAGTATGTCTTTAACATCTGCCTGCAACACCTGCCTGTGTCCCCTCTCTTACAAAGCCTCAGGCATGCTACAGTATCTTGGTAGAATTTGATAGTATTTCATTTTTATTATATTCCTTTTTCTGGTTATGTTCTATATATGGCAAGTGATATTGGTTTTCATCTGTGCTCGTAATATGAAGTTTCCTTTTGAAATACATTTTGTGAAGGAGAAAAAGAGGAAGTTAATATAGAAAGCAACTCATACAACAGGTGGTGTGCTGAGCTGGCAAAGCATCTTGAAGATGCCTTTCAAATGATTAAAGATTGTGACGTGCTGTTCTTGTATTTTGCCTACAGTGATTTTCCTTTATGTTGAAGTTCGCATCAACAGTATCAGAAAGGGATGCTAAATGTGGGGCCTGTGGTGCCCAGGCCATCACCGGTGACAGTCTGTGGTTTGTCTGTGCCACCCCACCCACTTCATTTGTCTGTTCGGCAAACACACTTTGAGTGCCCTCTGTGTGCATCATGCTGTGCTGGTTGCAGGCATAGCAGGGCAGTCCCTGCTGTCTGGTAGAGGAGTCAGATTGGAAAGACATAGCTGGGATTCAGTGCCACAAGCGTGCTCGTAGAGGGAGGTACTGCAGACAGTGCACTAAGTGTTGTGTGGCACGGGGAGGTCGTGCTCTGCATTGCTGAGTGGGTCAGGAAAGCTTCCCAGAGGAGGAAGTATTTGAAGTGGGTCTCAAGGAATAAATAAAACATAACTATTCATAGGCTCTTGAGGGAGAAAAAGGGAATTCTAGGCAGAGGGGATAGCATGCACAAGAGCATGAAAGCCTGAAGAAATATGGTGAGTTCAAGACCCTTATGTGTATTTTAGTATGGCTGGAGTATAGACATTGTGTCTCAAACTTGGATGTGCATTTTTTTTTTTAAGGATTTTGTTTTTTCCTTTTTCTCCCCAAAGCCCCCGGTACATAGTTGTATATTTTTAGTTGTGAGTCCTTTCTAGTTATGGCATGTGGGATGCTGCCTCAGCATGGCTTGATGAGCAGTGCCATGTCCGCGCCCAGGATCTAAACTGGCGAAACCCTGGGCCACCGAAGTGGAGTGCGCCAACTTAACTACTTGGCCACGGGGCCGGCCCCTTGGATGTGTATTTGATCGCTGGGAAATATTGTTGAAGTGCAGATTTTGGTTGAGTAGATCTGGGGCAGGACCTGAGGGTCTGTGTTTCTGCAGACCACATATGGTGTAGCTGGGTATGTAGCTCATGTAACCATAGTAATTTAATAGCAATAGCTAGCATCTTCTTCCATGCTTCCTTGTATTCCAGGTACATTTTTGCACTTTACATGTATCTCATTGAACTCTATGCCAGCCCTATGGGGTGGGTAGATAAATTAGGATTATCCCCACTTTACACTTGAGGAAACTGAGGCAGACAGGCTAGTAACTTGGCAAAGTGGAAGCCGAGGTTAGAGGCAGGCCTCCGTTAGCTCAGAGCTGAGAAGGCCCCATGGGTTGTTCTGAAAAGCTTGGACTTGATCTTGAAGGGAGAGGGAGAAATTGAAGGTAGTTCAACAGGGAGAGGCTGGATGAAATTTGCCTAAATTTTATAGAGATTGCTCTGGCCGTGCACCCCCCACGAGTGAAGCACCCACGAAGTTTGTTTCGTAAGTGAACACTCGAGTGCTTTGCTGTCAGGTTTGTTTTGAATCAAGCAGCTAATTATTTCCTAGCCGCCCCCCGCCCCATAGTAGCTTTTGTTGATGTTGTTGCTCCTCAGTTGGTTGATTTCTAAGTAGTTGTTCAGTTCATAGTGTTTGAACTTCTTTTTCAACCTCATCTTACTGTCTGAAAATCAAGATTGAACCTTCTTCCGAAGACAGCAATATTGCTCGGTGAGACTGGCTCAGAGTTCAAAGAAAATGCCGGCTCGGAGAAGGCTAATGGCTTCAATTACTTAATCTGAGCTCACTTAAAAAATCGGAATGCCCATTTCATTGTCAGAGTTCTACGGACATCGTACTTTATTTCTATCCAGGTTTCGGCTAGCTAAACACTTTGCTTATGAGCTGTGTGTCAAGGACGAATATTGCATTTTGAAACTGAGGGTCAAATCCAGTTTAAACTCGTGACTTTCATGCCTGTCTGTGAAATTCAGACAAGTGAAATGGAACTGTAACAGGGCTGCTGGGTTAGGAAATAGCGCCCGTCGCTCCTTGTAGGAATCTTCAAGGGTTCTTTCTAGTCTGCCTTTCTTAATTTGCCCATGTGTGATTTCCCATTACAAATTAGATTGTTTGAAACTAATGGTCCCTTGAAGAGGCACTGTTTGTAATTTTGAAAATGGATCTTACCCCTTGGAAATACTTCAGCCCGGCTTGTCCAGCTTCCTGCCTGTTCCGTAGCTGGTCATTTGCTCCACTTCCCCATGTCCCCTGTTCTGTTGGGGCTGGCCCCGCTGGGGCTCCCTGGCTTAGTCTCCTCATGCCCTGATCACGTTCCCACCCTCCTTTCCCTGCAGACGTGTCCTTCCTGACCGCTCACATTAGCTCGAGCATGTCTTCCTCACTCTGGCTGCGGAGAGCACAGGGCAGTGGGTGTCTGCGTAGACGCAGACTGGCTGCCTAGAGCAGTAACGTGAGTTCCTGGCATGGGAGGACTCTAACGCCATGCTAACGAAGCTTGCATGCCCACGATCCAGTGATACCCAAACCACTCTGCTATCCTCCAGCATCCAAATTTGAGAACTGACGTGTGGCTTGCTCTGGATTAAACAGGGGTATAAGTAGGCAGCTCATGAACTCCTCAAGAACACAGATCACATCTATTATTTGGTATACTCCACCAATGCTCATTGGCTTTCATTCTTTTTTTTTTTTTTTTTAAAGATTGGCACCTGAGCTAACAACTATTGCCAATCTTCCCCCCACCACCGCTTTTTCTCCCCCACTCCCCCCAGTACATAGTTGTGTATTTTTAGTTGTGGCATGTGGGACACTGCCTCAACGTGGCCTGATGAGTGGTGCCATGTCCGCGCCCAGGATCCTAACTGGTGAAACCCTGGGCCACCGAGGGCAGAGTGCGCGAACTTAACCACTCGGCCACGGGGCCAGCCCCCTGGCTTTCATTCTTAATAATTGTTATTTTAAAAGATTTGTCTTCTTATATTTGTTCATTGTAGAAAATTTAGGTTAAAAAAAGAGAGCGAGCGAAGAAAGGGCCTTCATAATCCTACTACCCTGAAAAAAAACTCCACATGACTTTTTGGTGTCTGTCCTTCCACCATTTCTTTGTACGTAGGCAGATGCAGACATGTGACTTAATGCCGACACGCCCTTGGGAAGTTTGACCTTCTTTTCACCTCACACTTACTCTGATCCTCTTTCCAAGGCGTTAGGTCTTCTCCAAGAACATCTTTGCAAATGGCCGCAGAACATTCTTTTGTATGAATGAACGATAGTGTTATTTAGGCAGCCCTTTCTTGTTGGAAATTTATGTTGTTTCCAATGTTTTTGCCACTGTTGATACAATATTAAGATGAGCATTTTTGTAGCTGTCGACTCTGAACATTTGCTAGGATAAATTCCTTAAAGCAGAAATGTTTAGCCAGGGTTTTTTTTGAAAGCTTTTGACGCATGATGAGATTTACTTTTGTTTCTCTCTAGACACTACAACAGCAGGAGTGCAAACTTCTCTACAGCCGAAAAGAGGGTCAGAGGCAAGAAAATAAAAACAAAAACAGATATAAAAACATCCTGCCCTGTAAGTATTGATATTCGGAAGCTCAGTAGTGATCGCTTGTGGAGACTTTGATTGCCAGGGTCCCTGTAACTTGTCCTGGGGGCCGTGTGCCTTCTCAGCAGATCGAGGCCTTAGCCTCTTTTAATGTTGAGGAGTCTGCAACATAATCAACTGTGGAGGGGACGGATGGCCTCGTTCACCGAGTTCCTATAATGCTGATTAGTGAGTAAAATTGCCACTAGAAGGTTTTGAGTCTGGTTGTTTCCTTCTGTTAATTTATTTTGTCTGCCTAAGCGTGATAATCTCACAGCTTGCCGTCTCCCAGGATCAGGCCATACCATGAGCCTCAGGGGTCCCAGGCTTGTGTCCTGTGCTACAGTACCCATCCCAAGGGTCTTGGGAAGCCCTGCCTCCTTTCTGGGACTCTGTTTCCTCATCTGGGGAACAGACAAGCTCCTCCTGAGGGCTCTTCCAACTGTTCTGCCCCCTGATGCCCTGAGCTCGAGATACTGGAGATGTGGGTACATACCTGCACTTTGCTCAGACGTGGATCTTGTGCTATTCATAAAGCTGCACCTCTTTAACATCCAGATGCTGCCAGGGAGAGCCCAAGTTGAACCGGAGGAAAAAGAGGCCCAGAAGGCTGTAGGCCTTGCACGAGGGCCCCTGAAATGGCGCTAAACGGTTGTCGTAGCTCATCTCTCCTGAGGGCTGACTCTGTGCCAGTCTCTTCGCATCCACAGCTCACTTAATCCATAGCCCATGCACACGAAGCAAGTGTTCTTATTATCCCTATTTTATAGACATATTAGCAGTGTCGCAAGTGGGAGTACGTGGGCCAGCTGGCACTGGAGTCCCCAGAGTCACTGCTCTTGGCACCATGCTCTCATGCAGGGGTCTTCAGCGTGGGCTATGCAAGGCAATCCACTGGGGGAAGGGACAGAACAGTTAGAATTTCTCTTTATTTATGTGCTGTATCTAAAGAAAAAAGGGAAAAGAAAAATTTAAACCTGATGTACAGGTTAATGGCAGTGCGTCCATGATGAATTTACCCAACTTAAAAACAAGGCTTGTTTGTATATATATGTGCGTGTATTTCAGTGTTCAAAAACCTGATTATTAAAGTTTATTGGGACACATGGTCAGATTTGGAGAGCATTGCTCTACTGTCTCATCAGGTCAGAGCCGTTCTGTCAGATATCGTGAACCCATCTGTGTGTGTGTGTGAGTGTCAAGCATCCTCTTTCTCTTTCTGGATACATATGTACACATGCATGGAATATATGGGTACCACATCTCTGTGGGTATTTGTAATGTGTGTAGATGAGGATGGGAGAAAGTGGAGGCATTTATAATCCTGAGAAAAGGCAATGAGGAATTTGAAGAGAATGAGTTTGAGCCACAGCATGGTCCTAATGACCTTGGGAAAGCCTCATTCTTTCTACGTGTAAGTTTTCATTTCTGCTCAGGAGGTCTAGTGGTACTCGTTAGTAGGATGTAGGGATGTGGGAAAAGATGAAGGGAACAATAGTACGCAGTATCTAAATAGAATATTATTGCCTTTTCCTTCCTTAAAGCTCCCAATGAGATGTTTTCTCCAATTAACATCTTATTTCTTTAAAGATGAGAAGTCTGAGGCAAAAAGAACATTGTTCTATTAAGGCATACAACTATATGACTAATTCCCATTGTAAAATATATTGTTTAGGTAGAGCACTCAGAGTTTTACACCAATAATATACTTTTGTATAGAATTTGGTCAGTTGATACTATAAGAATCTTTTAGATACTGTATTTCATTCTGCTTCATTTGAAGAAACCCTTTTTGTTATGGGAAGTTTCAAGTATATTCAGAAGTGGACAGAGTAGTGTAAAGAACCTGTGCATACCCGTCACCCGGCTCTGACGATTGTCACCTCATGCCCAATCTTGATTCATCTATATTTTGATCCACTTCTCCCCTCTCCCTGTATTGTTTTAAAGCAAATCTCAGACATCATGTCATTTATCTGTACTTTACTCTTCCTTTTTCTAAAAAACTTTTTGTTTTGAAATAATTTTAGACTCACAAGAAGTCACAAAAATATATATAGGGTTCCCATCTCCCCTTTACCCAGCTTCACCCATGATAATATCCTTTATATCCATGGTACATTATTAAAACCAGGAAATTGACATTGCTATGTTATTCTTCTTAAAAAGCATTCTGAGGCATCACGTGGTGTTCAGATTATTGTTGTGCTTGCTTAGTATTTGATTTTTCATGTGGTCTTATCACTGATGAACAAAACTTGGACTAGGTTGAGGATTAACTGATTTGAACTGATTTGTCCTGAAGAGGTCTGAGCACTTTGTGACTGATCTGTCTTTTTTTCCTTCCAGTTGATCATACCAGGGTTGTCCTGCATGATGGTGATCCCAACGAGCCTGTTTCGGATTACATCAATGCAAATATTATCATGGTGAGTTTTGCTTTTCACAGTGTTGTCTGATCGTACATTGCTAGCCTGTTTTAAATCCTTCCTTGTGTCTTGAATGTTTCAAGGATGTTCTTCCTAAATTTCTAGCCTGAGTTTGAAACCAAGTGCAACAATTCAAAGCCCAAAAAGAGTTATATTGCCACACAAGGCTGTCTGCAAAATACGGTGAATGACTTTTGGCGGATGGTGTTTCAAGAGAATTCCCGAGTGATTGTCATGACAACGAAAGAAGTGGAGCGAGGAAAGGTATATTACATATGTTTCTGATGCAATATTGTTAAAGTATTGGACGCGTCAGGTTGACCATATTAATTAAGAATTGAATAGACAAATTAAGTGTACACTAAGAGACCCTCTGGAAAAAAGGGAGTAGAAGAAATTTAGTTATGATGTGCCTGGGTGTAGTTTTCTCTCTGTTTCTTCTGTGTGGGGTTCATTGAGCTTCTTGGATTTGTGGATTTATAGTTTTCTTCAAATTTGGATAATGTTTATTATTTCTTCAAATATGTATCCCCACCACCCCCTGGCCTGGGACGCCGATTACACGTGTGTTAGGCTGCTTAAAGTTGTCGTACAGTTCACTGAGGCTTTCTTCATCGTTTCAGTCTTTTTTTACCCTGTGTTTCATTTAGGATAGCTTTTTTTTTTCTGCTATGTGTCTCTAAGTTAATGTTTTCTTCTGCAGTGTGTAATCTGCTGTTCATCCTATCCAGTGTATTTTCCACAGCACACGTTGTCTTTTTCACCTCTAGGCATTTTATTTGAATCTTTCATAAGATTTTGGATCTTCTTATTTATAACATTTGGATCTTTTAAATATCTTTGATGCCTTTCCTTTTTTTTTTTTTTTAAAGATTTTATTTTTCCTTTTTCTCCCCGAAGCCCCCCAGTACATAGTTGTATATTCTTCGTTGTGGGTCCTTCTAGTTGTGGCATGTGGGATGCTGCCTCAGCGTGGTTTGATGAGCAGTGCCATGTCCGCGCCCAGGATTCGAACCAACGAAACACTGGGCCGCCTGCAGCGGAGTGCGCGAACTTAACCACTTGGCTACGGGGCCAGCCCCTGATGCCTTTCCTTTTAACATGTGCATCATTTCCTATACCTTTTGTGAACATATGGAATATAGTCTTAATAACTATTTTAATGTCCTTGTTACTAATTCTATTGTATACGTTGTTTCATTTTTTCTGGTTTTTGAGTTGTTTAAAGTGGGAGGGGAAATCCAGTCCTGTTACTCCACTGTATCCAGAAGCAGAGGTCAAAAAGATTGTGTCAGGAGGCCTGTCTAGTACTCTCGGTGCTTAGAGTACTAATAAACGGTGATTTTAGTTGTCATATAAACTATACTTATCATGACTTTCAAAAATTAAATTAATTTGAATTATCCAAACCATATGTTCATATAAATATTCAAACACATTATAGTTAAGGTTAACGTTGCCTTTGCCACCTGCATCCCACCCATTTTAGTCCCCTCCTCCAGTGTAAAAACCCTGTTATCAGTTTGATGTGTCTTTTTCTACACTGTCTTCTTGGCATTTACATATGTTCATTAGAGGCGTTACAGGCTTTACATGCCTACATTTACATATGTACATGTATTGACACATGTGTATGTACTTATAGAAGTATATAGTACTATTTTCTGAAAAATACTCTATGAAAAGTGCTTTCATACAATAACTTCATTGTGCATCTTGGGCCATCCCCTCCACCAATATATGTTCTAACTTCTTCTATTAGTACATATTGGCTATCCCATCCATTTTTGTTTTTTTTTTTTTAAAGATTTTATTTTTTCCTTTTTCTCTCCAAAGCCCCCCAGTACATAGTTGTATATTTTTCGTTGTGGGTCCTTCCAGTTGTGGCATGTGGGACGCTGCCTCAGCGTGGTTTGACGAGCAGTGCCGTGTCCGCGCCCAGGATTCGAACCAACGAAACACTGTGCCGCCTGCAGCGGACCATGCGAACTTAACCACTCGGCCATGGGGCCAGCCCCCATCCCTTTCTTTTTAATAATTGCATGGTATTGGATGTTCTATAATTTGTTTAACCATTATGCCCTTGATGGACATTCAAGTGTTTCAGTTTTTTTCTTGCAAACCGAGCTGAAGTGAGTAATCTTATTCTTGCTTTTATGTGCATGTGGCAGATGTTCCTCTAGGTTAGGTATCAGAAGGGCTGCTAGGTCACAAGGTGTGCATGTTGTTGTTTTAATAACTTCTGCCAAACTGCCCTCCAGAGTGGCTGTCCCAGTCTCCATTCCCCCCAGCAGCATGTGCCTGGCACCCATCTCCCCATACCCTTCACGACAGACACTACAGGTTTTTGGAAGTGTAATGTCTGATACCTACAGAGAAGCAGGCACATCTCATTGAGTGACAACTCTGTGTGTTATCCCATGTGAGCTCATCCATGTGGGTTTTTTAATATGGAAAAGTTCTGTGTTTTTGTTTGTGTTCTAGATAAGTTCTCTTTTAGATACACTTTAATTGGTTTATATAAAATTTGCATAGAATGTAGCAGTTGCACCTATAAGTTAAACCTAAGACAGATGGGTGATTTTGGATTTTAGCCCTCCTAATATAATTTTCATATCAGTTGTGGGGGCAGTGTGATTTTATAAGATTTTTCTTATTGCACTACTAGTTGTTGTCCTCTGAACACCTTTGAGGCCAGATCTGGTCATTGTGAAAACAAAGGCTTCCTCCTGCAGCTGCCTGCAGGAACGTTAGATGTTTTTGAATTAATATACAAGTTTAAACGTCTTCGTAGTTTCTGCGTCAAGTGAGTGTCACTTGCCCTAAGTACGGAAAGGAAAACTGAGCCCTCTGTCCTGCCTGTTTCCTGATTGTAGTTGTAGGAGGCCACCTGTTCTCAAAGGACTTGGGGGCTGTGAAGAGAGAGTGCTTCTGTCACTTCAGAGAATCAGTGTTGGTCCCTTTCAGAAGAGCTGCTGGAAGCTCCTAGAACAGGCAGACATTGGGCCAAATCACTGTGTCCCGCTCCTCACGTCCTCCTCCCAGTCTGTGCCTGCTTCTCGTTCTTCCTCTGCACTCTGCGGGGGCAGGGTGACATGACGGGCTTCCGTTCCCTTCGCAGGCCTTTCTGATAACCTGCTCTCTCGGGATCCCTCCAGTGCACAAAATAGAAAAACCAGACTCTGGATTCTCTTTGATTCCTGGCTTTGCTTTAAATGCTCGAGTATTAGCTCTCACATTTTAGAATTTGTTTCCAAGGTTTACATCAGAGTTTGGAAAACTGGGAGGAGGGCCGCAGTGCTTTGCAGATGTTTGAAGTCAGCTGGAATGTTTTCAGAATGGTGATTTGATTTTTGTTCTCTGTTGAGTTCTTTTGAGCAACTGGCAGTCCTGAGAACTGATTGGCCAAGAACAGCATTGAGTACAATTAGTATCGAAAGTGTTTATTTGGGGATAAAAAAATTGTGTCAAGGGGCTGGCCCCGTGGCCGAGTGGTTAAGTTCGCGTGCTCCGCTGCAGGCGGCCCAGTGCTTCGTTAGTTCGAATCCTGGGCGCGGACATGGCACTGCTCATCAGACCACGCTGAGGCAGCGTCCCACATGCCACAACTAGAAGAACCCACAACGAAGAATACACAACTATGTACCGGGGGGCTTTGGGGAGAGAAAGGAAAAAAATAAAATCTTTAAAAAAAAAAAAAAAAAATTGTGTCAAATCTGTCTAAGAGAGATTTGGATCTACAAAATGCTGGAGGGAAAAGCTGAATTCACAGTAATAATAAATAAAAAACCACATAAACTACGCCAGGCAAAAAAGTTGCACCATCCATTAATCCCTCTGTTGAACTTTCCTCTTGTTGTGTTTTTTTTTTTCTATCAATTAGTCATTGACTATGTGGATGTCTGCGGCTGCTCTCCTATTTCTAGCTTTAAGACTGAATTTCTCTGTCTTTCTAATATACAGGGTAAATTTCTCTTGCTGGTATTTGTGTCTTAGTGGTTGTGGAAAGTGAGTGGTGTGGGTGACTGCTCCCAGAAAAAAACAGAACACATTCTCTGCCCAGGACACATCACCAAAGATATACAGACTCGTCGCTCATTGAGTGAAATATCTTCCTCTTTGGCAGCAAGAATGATGTTCTGGTGCCATATTTTTAATCTGCCTGCTCTGAAGCCAGCAGCTCTTGCAGGCTTGGCGTTCCCAGACACCCAGTTAAGCGAAGGTGACGTGTGTAGTAGGTATCAAATGGATCTGGATATAGAAAAAGCAGCTGGTTCAAAACCCCCTCGGCTGCCTTTCTCTACTGGAGTTGTTCACACTCGGGTTAGATAAGGCACAGAGTCCTCCTACGCTGGTGCGGAAATGAACCAGACAGTCTGGCTCGTTGGGCAGCCCATCCACCTCCAGAGTCCTTGCTTGCCTTCCGCAGAGTGACTGGCAGATCTCTAGAATCCAAAACTCTGGTTGCTAGACAGCACCCTCAAACTGGTTAGTCCTTCTGTCTTTGCATCTTTGGTTCTTTAGAGATAAACAAACACTGACTCTCCTTTGACATGTGTCTTAGGTCAGACAACCCTGCAAAGGCTTTGTCTGCCCCCTTCTCCCTGGCTTGCCAAGCGCCTCCTTTTCTTACTTGAACTCGTGTGTCCTTTTCTTTGAAAGGGAAACAGGTAGATGGTAGACACGCCATTTTCCATGTTAGTAGTCATTAAGCAAGGCTTGAATGTTTATTTTCTGCTGGTTTAGGCTTTAATTCAGAGTTCTCAGAGATTAACTGTCTTTTCTCTGATCCCTTCCAGAGTAAATGTGTCAAATACTGGCCTGACGAGTATGCTCTAAAAGAATATGGGGTCATGCGTGTTAGGAACGTCAAAGAGAGTGCCGCTCATGACTACACGTTAAGAGAACTTAAACTCTCAAAGGTTGGACAAGTAAGTATATTGTCGTATTTTAGAGACTTTGGTAATTGTCTGTCGTATGCAGTGATCCAGAGTCGTGCAGTTACTCATGCTTGCATCCATTCATGCGTTTATTCACTCTCTGATTCAATGTCTGTTTATTGGGTGCCTTCTGTGAGCCAGGTACAGTTGAGGCACTACTGGTACATTGAAAACAAGACAGGCACGGGCCCTGCCCTCACAGAGCCTCAGGAGATGGAAAGGTTAAAAAGTAAAGAACCAACCAAGCTTTCCGATTGTGCTCAGTCTGTGCAGGCTATAGGATGGTGTATTAGAGAGAAACTGAGTACTTGAGATGGAGTAAACTGAGAGAGCCTCTTGGAGGGAGCATCACTTGATCTGACACCTGAAGATGGAGGAGCCAGACATCCAAAGACGAGTATCTCAAGCAAAGGGAACAGCAAGTGCAAAGGCCCTGAGGTCCTGGTCAAAGTCCATGGCATCAGATCTTAATTGCGTGTGGTTCAGGTTTCTCCCTGGAGTGACTAACTTTACAAAGCAGGATTAGATTTGGATTCGTTTTAATTTCATGGTTAGAGGGGCTTACTTATTCAAGGTCTTTTGGGGAAACAAAGATGAATGAAACAGCCTTAACCCTCGAGGAATTACAGTCATGTAGCAGTGAGAAGCCATTTATACAATGGCGGTGCTCCAGAGCAGGCCTGGGCTGTAACACCCGGCTGAGGTGCCGTGGTACTGCAGAGGCTACGCTTCCTTCCAGCTCGGGCATCGGGGAGATGGTCCCAGAAGAGACAGAGTCTTTAAGGTTGAGGATTCCGTGGGAGAACATGGTGGAGGAAGGGCCTTGCAGATGGAGGTGTCATTGTGGTCACAGTGCTAAATTGCAAAGTGTAGGCGAGTGGGATTTATGGGGGATAAAGGCAAGTGGGGAATCAAGGGAACAAACTTGGGTTGAGAGAGGTTTTGACCATCATGTTAAGAAATGCGAACTTTATTCGTTAGTTGTCATGGACCCTGTGATGGTTCTTGTGCCAAGTGAACATGTGCGCAGAGCTGTGTGCCTGGAAGTGTCTGATAGCCCTGGCAGGGAGGACTGGGGATGGGGTGATCCTAGTGGCTGGAAGGCCTCCGCAGTGGTCGAGGTCTGATGGCCTCCTCTCCACGGATCCCAGAGACTCCAGCAGTTAGGGTGAAGTCGGCAGGCTGTGGGGATAGTTTGGCTGTTAGAGGAGGAGGAGGATTCAAAAACATCTTAGGATTTGAGTCTGAGTGGACAGCACTCCTGTGGCAGAGGTCAGGAAAGCTAGGAGAAGATATACAAGATGGTAGGGCTTGGACTGTCTAGGTACAAGATGCCAGGGTAGTGACAGGGGTGATGGACAGAAAGGGACCAACTGGAGATAACTGTGGAGGTAGACATGAAGGGATTTGATGATGGCAAGAACGAGAGGCGAGGGCAGCATTAAGAACGACCGCCAGTTTTCTAGCTTGAACAGTGGGGTGGATTGCAATGGATTTGAGGAGGAAGGGAGGATGAAGAACCAACCTCCTAGACTTGTAAAGTTTGAGATGCCTTTGAGAAGCGAAGATGCCACGGAGGCAGGAATGGAGGTTGCGTGAAAAGGGGAGATGGGATCTAGAGCATCGGGGATGGATTGGTTTTGATCGATGGTGGGATTGTTCTTCTGTGGTGATGGAGGGAAAGAGGAGAAGGTGGCTGCAGATGCAGGTGGAGGAGCTGAAATGGATTTTCTGTATATTCTCCGTGATGCCTGAGACAGGCATCAGCTGATTTTGGAAGAAAATAAGTAGAGATGAAATAGGGGCCAGCCCCGTGGCCAGGTGGTTAAGTTAGCGCGCTCCGCTACAGGCGACCCACTGTTTTGTTGGTTCGAATCCTGGGCGCGGACATGGCACCGCTCATCAAACCACACTGAGGCAGCATCCCACATTGCCACAACTAGAAGGACCCACAACGAAGAATATACAACTACGTACCGGGGGCTTTGGGGAGAAAAAGGAAAAAAATTAAACCTTTCAAAAAAAAAAGAAGAGATGAAATATTTGAGGAAAGTGGGAATAGCATGCAATAATTTTGTAGAGAAAGCAAGAAATGCAGTAAATATCTAGGCAGTGCTGAGTCCTCTGTTGAGGTGGTGAACATAAACATTTAGTAACATCGATCACGTGGTTGTGTGATTTTTCTTGAGGACGCTGTTCCTCAGGTTAAAAACAGAAAGTGGGTGGTTGGGTTTGTCCAGGCTTGCAGCTTTGCCTGGTGGGTGGTGAATGGAGGGCAGTTGTCAGGATGGTACGTGGAATCCGAGCTGGTTAAGGGGGCAGCAAGAGCAGGAGGAGGCGGGTGGAGAGTGGAGGGAGGCTCCGTGGTCTGGTGAGCTCCGTGAGGAGGTCGGGGACTAACGCGAGTGGAAACCTGGGCGGTCGTGGTCCAGGGTGAGGTGTTGGAACTTCTGATGTCAGTGGGGATGCAGGTCTCCTGATGGGGAGAGAGTGGAGGTCCAATCAATGGCAGAGACTGTGAGAGGAGCTGGAAAAATGTAGCCGTCAAGCGGAAGTGGGAGAGAGATTTAGAGGACGTTGGACAAAGATTTCAGAGAAGTTTTTCTTTAGTTTTAGTGGTAAACTAGCCATCTTCTCGCTATCGGGGCTTTCTGAGAAGCGGGTGGGTTTTCTTCAGTTCTAGTGGCAAGCCATCCATCTTCTTGTTATCAGAGGCCTTTGAGTGGCAGGTACAGGGACCGTTGGTGTGTTTGCTTTGTGTTTTGCACCCCTGGATGCAGATGCTCACACGGGACTGATCATTTCTCCAGAATTGCTGGTCATGTATTATCTACTTTTTGCGTAACCTGTTACATTTTCTCTGAAGTGCTGTCGCATGGCCTCACTGAAGCCTCTTAACTGCCCAGGAAGGAGGGCTCAGGCAGAGACCTCAGTGACCTTTCCTGAGGAGGAGGAGCGTGGATGCGCGGGGAAGCTGAGTTTCTCTCACTCCCTGCTGTCCTTGCTGTGGCCTCTGTAGGCCCTGATATGTAGCTCGCCAGTAACACCAAGAAAGCTCTTTTTTATGATGTCAGAAAATTAAATGCACGTAACTCAAGAAAAGATCTTAATCGTGCTTCACATTCCTTGGATGTCCTGAAAGTCACTGATGGTAGACACTGGTCTAGTTTCTCTCTCTCTTATTTTTAAATCCGCTTTAAAAATGTCACTTAACTTGGATTGTCTCTGGATACTGTGTATAGGAAGAAGATGCAGCATTGCTACAAAGACCTAATCTGCGTAGACCCAGAACGCCATACTTTTTGGCCTTGTGTGGTCTTGGTACCATCGTTGACCTTTGTGAGTGACGGCTCTCCTCAGAAGAGCGTTGGTGTGCCGAGTCTATCACTCTGCTGAGCAGTAGCCGTGTGTCTGATTGGTCTTGTTTAATCCTCACAGTGGTATTGTGAGAGAGTGAAGATTTTTCCCATTTGCAAAGGAAAAAATTGAGACTTAGAGATGTCCAGGGGCCACAGTGAGTGTGAATGCTGGAATTTGGGCCTAAATCCAGTCATCTAATTGCAAAGCCTGTCTTCGTATCTACTTTGCAGTAAAGAGGAGTTAAAAATATCATGATATGATAATAAAAGTGTGTGTGTTAGGGGCGGGGAGGAGGGCTGGGTGTAAAAAAACAAAGGAGCAAGTGTCTTGAGGGATTCCCTGTTCTCCCATCTGGTGGGAGGAGCGCCCCGAGTCCCAGAGGCCCCAGTCGCCTCCTGAGTTGAGCTACTCACGGATGAGGAGGAGCAGGGACATTGCCTGCTGCTGCTGCTTCAGAGAGGTGATTCAGGCTGCTGTTTCCTGAAGAAGCCAGACATCTTCATTCTTCTAACAGAGGCAAGAGCTGCCTCCCGGCTTGCTCAGCCAGACGCAAAAGCAGAAGAGAGCTGAGAGACTCAGAAGAGGACCTGTAAATGGGGCGGGAGGAGGTTCTGTGCCGGCCAGCCCCATCGGCTCACGTGGGGTCTGGGAAAGATGGGAACCAGGCAGTTCCTCAACCCCTTGATTTATTTAATTCTTTTCTGGTTTTTCTTGGCTCTACTCCAGGGGAATACGGAGAGAACGGTCTGGCAATACCACTTTCGGACCTGGCCAGACCATGGAGTGCCCAGTGACCCTGGGGGCGTGCTGGACTTCCTGGAGGAGGTCCACCATAAGCAGGAGAGCATCATGGACGCTGGGCCTGTGGTGGTTCACTGCAGGTGACCAGCCCCCCGTCCCCATCTACGAGCACTCGGGGCTTGTTTTAACTACCCACCCCAGCTCTTTAACTGTGGGAAAAATTGCATCTCTATTTGAGGCCTGATAAACTGCATTAAGGGACACTTTAGCCCCAAAGTATGTTTCTCCTAGACCTTCCAGGACAGCCAGGTACTGGGGGTGGCTGGCCATGGGTGGTGACCACGGTCCTCATTCTCAAGGAGTCCTTAGTCACTTTTGCTTGGTTTTCTTTTTAGTTTAGTAATCTAGGATTTATCTCTTTGATTGTGATTCTGTTCTCTTCTACCATGGAAATAAGATACATTTTTTTTCCCTGACAATACACTTGTTTGCTTCGAAAGATTCAGACTGTTTCCCATCTAGCCCTCTGGAAGCCATGCCCGTGGCCTCCACACCACAGTTTGCAGGCTGCTCGTGCCCAAGCTTTGGGCTTCATGGTTATACTTGGGAAAAGTTGCTTTCCTAAATCTCATTCGTATACCATTTGTTCGGTTTTTTAAAAGCTGCCGTTTACTGAGCACTTGCTCTGTGCCAGCCTCAGAGCTCAGTGTTTTTCATACAGGATGCACATTTGATCCTCACAGCAATCCTGTGAGGTATGCACTGTTATCCCCATTTCACAGATGAGGAAACTGGGGTCAGAGGCGAAGGCAGCTGCTTTAGGCACGCTGTCCTGGAGAAGCTGGGCTCCCATCACAGGATGGGCTGAGTCGAAAGCCCTGTGCTCTTTGCTGATCTGTTTTCAAATATAAATAGACGATCCTACAACTATTCCCAAGAGCAGATGTTGTTTCTGTTAATATCAATAGCTTGGTTTTGAGTTTAAATCCTCATGAATGACCCCGTTGTGCTTGCTTTCTGTCCTGCCCGCAGTGCTGGAATTGGCCGGACAGGGACGTTCATTGTGATAGATATCCTTATTGACATCATCAGAGAGAAAGGTAGGTCATCTGGAGGGCAAGAAGCTACAGTTCCTGTTTTTAGTTTATGGAAGGAAAGTGCTAGTGAAAATAGCCCGGGGAAGAATTTGAATGTTAAAAAATGTTCACAAAAATCTGGGCCGAAGGCTTCAACTTCGGTATGTTCGCCAGAGAACAGAAGTGATGCTATCGGAGCTTTTGGCATCGAAGGAAGCCTAGGCGCTGTGGATCCCACCGCTGTGGTCTTCTGTTGAGTATGCAGTGGTGGTCTCTAGCCAGCCACCTGATCCTTACTGGCGGTATGGGGTGGTGCTGCTGGAAAGGGAGGGAATCCTCATCTCCAGCACTTTCTCATGTCATCTCTGACCATTGGTAGTGATCAGATGGCCTGTGCTGTAGCCCTTGAAACATGTTCGGTTAGAACCCTGAAGACTAAATTTGCTTTGTCTGAGTCTGCTAAATGTGGTGCATTAAACCACTTCACTCCGGCCCTCCAGTTTCCCCTGATGCTTTGTGATGCTTGCTTTGTAGGTGTTGACTGCGACATTGACGTGCCCAAAACCATTCAGATGGTGCGGTCTCAGAGGTCAGGGATGGTCCAGACAGAAGCACAGTACCGATTCATCTACATGGCCGTCCAGCATTATATCGAAACACTACAGCGCAGGATTGAAGAAGAGCAGGTACCAGTCTGCAGGGCTGGCGTGCGGATTTTCGTTGTTTTTCTAAGCAGCTTGAATGCGCTCTCCTTGTGAGCAGGAGGACAGGCTCCCATAGGCGACTGTCCTTGTTTGGGAATGGAAACAACCAGGAAGGGCTTCTCTGGAAACTCTCCCTACTTCACAACCCTGGTTTTTCAGAAGAGTGGGGCACCATGCTGTCGTCTGTCCTGACAGATTGGGGAACTGCCGCCTGGAAGGGTTAGGATTTTCCCAGGCTCATGTGGCAAGCTTAGAACTCAAAGCCTTGAAGTTTCCAGCCTGTTCCAGTTTTAATCCAGGCCATATTTATCTTGATTCCATCTCTTAAATGAATGCTTCACTCCTCATAGCACACAGCGCTTTGAACCACCAATTTGGTCGAGTTGGAAACAGTGAAATTTCAATTTTAATAAGCCGTGCATAATGAAGAAGAATGTGGAGTTGGAGCCTTTCCATTTGAAGCTATTCATAACAGACACAAAGCGGAGTTAATTAGGAGTGTGCTGAGACCAGGGAAAGGAGGCGACTGCTCTTTTGGGGAGCTCTGCTTAGCTCCCTCCCCACCCCCACCCTAGCCCCATTGCTGTGCTGCAGACAGGGTGGCGTCTAAACATCAGAGATATTTGCCTGCTTTCCCCTGTTGACTGCCTTCCAGAGAACTCAGCTTCTCAAAATGGGAGCTAAGCTCTTCTCAAAGTGGGACCTGCCCCCTGATTGAAAGATTTGTTACCTAGCGGAACAGCAGCCGTGTTATCAAAGCTTGGTGAGCCAAAGTAAGACACTTGTTAATTAGTTTAGTAGGTTCTCAGTGCACACAAACACTCACTAGGTTGTTTCGTTGTGCAAAAACATCTTCAGAAACAGTGCCTGTATATGTATGTGAAACGTGCACATGTCTGTGAAATGTGAGGTCAAAGAACTAACAAGTTACTGGCTGTGAACTTTAGTGCCTTAAATCTGACTTTGGTTACTGTAAGTGCTGTGAAATATTTAGATGGTCACTATAGGCTATTTTGTACTTGTCTTCCAGTTACACTTGATTTGGGCCAGGAATAGTTAAAGCATAAATTTGCCCAAAGAGTGGGACTTCTAATAACTACGAAGAGAATGCAGCACAGTTGGTATAAATTGGAAAATATTCAGGAATATCTTGAAGCACGTAATATAGTTCTGCTCAGAAAAGCTGGAGAAAAAGCTCTCTTTATTTCATTCAGAAGCTTTGATTTTTATTCTTGTTTTAGAGAATTTATGGACTTCTCTTACCAGTTTTTATAGCACTTCAGATTTTCTCATTACCATATAGGTCTCTCTAACCCTAAATCTGGAGTTACAATTTGGATTTAGGAACAGTTTAAAAAAAATCTTTATTGCTGCCTTTTTTTTGGTCGGTGAGGGGTGGTGGACAGAAATGAAACATGTTCTTTAATAATTTAAGTATTATAATATATAGAACATAGAAACTGAATTTCCCTGGTAGTCCCACCCTAAGAGTGCTTGCATGCATGCATTCATTCATTCACTCAGTCAGTCAATACTTTTTGGGTGCCAATATGTACCAACACTGTCCTAAGCACATTAACTACTATTTAGTATATCAGCCTTTGTATTTAAAAAAAATGTCTAGGCTTAGATTATTCATTTTTAAAAATGGGATCCTGTAATAAGTAGTTTTCTGCATTGTACTGTTTGATTCAGTATAGGAACTTGCTACCTGATTTCGTGGTAAAGTTAAAAGTACTTTTGTTTAGTAGAAGTTCTAAGTGGCAGACTTAAAAACGTTAAACCCGAGCTAGCCCTGATGGCCTAGTGGTTAAAGTTCGGCACACTCTGCTTTGGCGGCCTGGGTTCGGTTCCCGGGTGCAGAACCACACCACTCCTCTGTCAGTAGCCACGCTGCCGGGGTGGCTCACGCAGAAGAATCAGAAGGGTTTACAACTAGGATGTACAGCTGTGTGCTGGGGCTTTGGGGAGGGAAACAAAACAAAACAGAACATTAAACCCACCTGATTTTTAAATTAAGTAAAAGAACAAAACTCATTCGGGATAATTGGTTATTTTGAAATGTAGTTATTGCCAAAATTATGAAGAGTTAAGGACTTTCGGGGGTGAAAGAATTTGCTGGAGGGATAAATGAAAAAAAGAAAATGATAGTCATGGGTGGAGAACAGTGGGGAAGGGCGTGGAGAAATCCAGACAGTGCTGGGACAGAGGAGAGGCAAAAACAGACGTGGACATCTAGGGGAAAATGCAAAGGAAGCAAGACAGAGAAAATCTGAAGTTTTTTATAAATGGTTCCTCTCACATTCTGCCATTTACTTGGAAGTAGATTTCTTTGTTAACTTCCATTTACAGTATTAAAATTTTTTTTTTTTTTTGCAAAAAACGGTATATAGTATTCACTTTACCCAGCTTTCCTGACTGTTAACATTTTTTTTTAAATAAGTGAAAGACTTTTATTTATTTTATTTTATTTTATTTTGAGGAAGATTAGCCCTGAGCTAACATCTGCTGCCAGTCCTCCTCTTTTTGCTGAGGAAGACTGGCTCTGAGCTAACATCCGTGCCCATCTTCCTCTACTTTATATGTGGGACGCCTTCTCCAGCATGGTTTGACAAGCAGTGGCCATGTCTGCACCTGGGATCCAAACTGGCAAACCCCAGCCACCGAAGCAGAACGTGTGAACTTAACCGCTGTGCCACCGGGCCGGCCCCTGCCTGTTAACATTTTAACACACTTACTTTATCATTTATTCATATTCTCTCTCTCTCTCCTCACATATATATGTATAATTTTTTTTTAATGAAATGTCTGTGAGTTGCAAACATTTATGTCCCTTTGTGTCTAAATACTCTGATGTCTATTTCCTAGAAATAGGGACGTTCTCTTACATAACTATAGTAAAATTATCAAAATCAAGAAATTAACATTGGTGTAATACTATTTTCCAATCTACAGATCATATTCGAGTTTGCCAGTTCATCCTCCTCTGATAGCCTTTGAGCGGTCCGGGGTCCCGTGGTGCATTTAGTTGTCATGTATCTTTAGGCTCCTTTAATCTAGAACAGTTTCTCACGACCTTGACATTTTTTAAGAGTCCTGGCCAGTTATTTGGTAGAATGCCCCTCAATTTGGATTTGTCTGGGGTTTTCTCTTGGTTAGGTGAGGTCGTGTATTTTGGACAGGACTGTCACGGAAGTGGCCTTGTGTCCTCCTTACATCACATCAGGAGCGTCCTCTGTTGGTTGATTTCATTACTGGCGGTGTTAACTTTGGTCACTTGATTTAAGGTGTTGTCTGTCAGATTTCTCCACTTTAAAGTTACTGTTTTTCCCTTTTTAATTAATATCTTGTAGGTAGAGACTTGAGACTCTATAAATAACCAGTTTTTCATCATACTTTTTGCCGACTAGTTATACTTTCGTTCACGATTCTTGCCTGGAAAAATTATTAGTGATAATTTGCCCAATGGTGATTTTCTGTTTCCATCCTTTCTTTCCACTTATTAGTTGGAAGCCCACTCTAAGGAGGAGCTTTCCCTTGTCCCTTGTTTGTTTAACTGAAAAGTTATTTATGTCAGAATGGGTTATAATCCATCACTGGTATTTATTTTGTTGCTTAAATTATCAAAACTAAAAAGTTAACACCAATGCATTGCTATTAGCTAAGTTCTGGAGTTTGGATTTCCCCAGTTTTTCCACTAACAGCCTTTTTCTCTCCTAGGATCCAGACCAGGATCCCACGTTGAGTTTATCCCGTGTCTCCTCTGATCTGTGCTGGTTTTGTATTCTTGTTTTTCCTGACCTTGACGCTTTTGAACAGTACTAGCCTGACAGCTTGTAGAATGCTCCTCGATTTGGGTTTGTCTGATGATTTCTCACGATTAGACTGGGGTAACGGGTTTTGGGAAGAATACCCAGAGGTGAATCGTGAAGTGTCCTTCTCATCGCTTGAGGGTCCCTGATGACAACATGGCCTGGTGATGTTAGCCTTCATCACTTGGTTTAGGTGGTGTCGGCCAGCTGTCCCTCACTGTGTAATGATTCTTTTTCCCTTTTCTTACTCTGTTCTTTGGAAGCAGGTCATTTAGTGCAGACCGTACCCAAGGGAAGGGGCGTTAAGCTCCGTCTCCTGGATTGGGTGGTATTTACGTAACTCATTTAGAATTCTTTTGTAAGGAGGACTTGTCCCTTCTCTCTGTTTATTTCTTTATCCAATTATTTCTTTATATCAGTGTGGACTCATGTATATTTATTTTGTGCTTTGAGTTATAGTCCAGACTATGCTATTTATTTTGTTGCTTAAATTGTTGCAGCCTTGGCCATTGGGAGCTTTTTCTGGTTGGCTCCTGTGTCCCTTTGACTTGTCCCCGTGCTTTCGTTTCTGTGCACTTCCTGACTTTCTGGCACTATAAGGTGCTCGAGGTTCATCTTATATTTTCCCTGTGGCAGCCCTAGAATCAGCCATTTTTCTATGGAGCCTTGGTTCTGTTTATTAAAGACTGGTATTTATTTATTTATTCATTTTTTTCTTCTCCCCAAAGACCCCCAGTACATAGTTGTATATTCTAGCTGTAGGGCCCTCTGGTTGTGCTGTGTGGACGCCACCTCAGCATGGCCTGATGAGCGGTGCTAAGTCTGCACCCAGGATCCAAACTGACGAAACCCTGGGCCGCCAAAGCAGAGCACGCAGACTTAACCACTCGGCCAGGCCATGGGGCTGGCCCCTAAAGACTGGTATTTAGAAACCAAGTTCTGGGTGTTGGGTGTGCTCCTTGCTGCTGGGTGTCACTGCTTCTAGGTGGTCTCAGCAGACAGAGCTAGGAAATATACGTCTGTACATGACTCCATGGATACACATACTACTATAACTGCTTCTGTGTCTGTTTGTATGTAGATTAAGCTAACCCTGCGTTCATATTGATGGCTCCAGTTCTCATTCAGGACTGCACGTTCATCCCAACCTTCCCTTTGCTTATTTGCAGC